GGGCCCGCTGCCGGCCCGCGGGCCCCGGCGGGTGCTGAGGGGGGTGCCGGCCCCGCTCCCGCCCCCGCTGAGGTGCTGCCTCATGGCCTGTGTGCAGCCGACTTGTTTTGCTGGCTTTTAAGTGACCTGGTGTAGGTTTTTGGGCTTTGTGTGTTGTGCATTTCAGCGTTTCAGAGGGCTGGAGCGCCTCTGCTGTGAAGACAGGCTGAGAGAGTTGAGGTTGTTCAGCTTAGAGAAGAGAAGGCTCCAGGGGGACTTCATAGCAGCCTTCCAGTGCCTACAGGAAAGCTGGGGAGGGGCTTTTTACAAGAGCTTGTAGTGATAGGACAAGGGTAATCGGTTAAAACGTGAAGAAAGGAGGTTTAGGTTAGACATTAGGATGAAATTCTTCACTATGCGGGTGGTGAGACACTGGAACAGATTGCCCAGGCAAGTTGTGGATGCCCCATCTAGATGATCCTTAAGGTGCCAGGCTGGATGGGGGTCAGAAACCTGGTCTAGCAGCAGGTGTCCCTGCCCATTCAGAGGGGTTGGAACTAGATGATCCTTAAGGTCCCTTCCAACCCAAACCATTCCATAGTTCTATGATCTGCGTGGACAAAATAGGTTTTTGTACTAGAAACATGGAAGCATCCAATGGTTGAGTAAGTTTGAAATGAGGACTGTTTGATCTAAGATCAAACCACCATGCTTTTTTGCAGAGTTCTCAGTCTTCATAGCTGGGAAAAATAGAAGGGCTGCTGCTCTTAGTCTTGCTGGATAAACATTTACATTACAGTTTCAGACTTGGTATGTCTGTCAGTGAGTGGTCAAAGTACACTTGTAAATTCTCTTTTAAAAGTAGAAAGATGTATCTAGCAAAGTGAAGGCAAAAAATCTGCTTAAAAGTCTGATGTTAAATGTGAAGGTTTGTGTAGCCCAATCATAAATTATTTTTTCCATGTCGCTCAATTTAGGAAATAAGCTTTAAGCAGGAAGCAGTTTCTTTACTTTTTTCCAATCAGAAAAGTGGGCGGGGCAATACTGTGCATCGTTGTTGCCTTTTCAGCAGTATACTTCCATATTTTCTGTTTATTCCCTCTTGAGAAAAAATTCGTTGTGATTATAAGTGTGATATACTAAGTACATGGACTAGTAAGAGTTCTAGAGATACTTGTCTCCATTTAAATCGACTGTTAAAATGTAGCAGTTTTTTAGAAGCTTAATGGTTTTGTAGGAGCTAATGCTTGCAATATGTAATCTAAATACTGTAAGAGGGTAGGTAATCTCTTTAAAGCTTGCATATTCCAGTGAGATAACTTGATGCTGTATAAATTGCACAGTAATCTTGTGATCTGCTTTTTTTTTTTGCCTTTTCCAGTTTCTTTCTGATTTTATTACCTTGTTTCTTTCAGGAAGAAAATGAAAATCTTTTCTGAGTCTCATAAAACTGTTTTTGTTGTGGATCACTGCCCATATATGGCAGAATCCTGCAGGCAACATGTTGAATTTGATATGTTAGTAAAGAATCGAACCCAAGGAATCATACCTCTAGCACCCATATCAAAATCACTATGGACCTGTTCAGTGGAATCATCCATGGAGTACTGTAGAATCATGTATGATATTTTTCCTTTCAAGAAACTGGTAAGTGCTGGCCCAACTGATTATGATACTTGATAGTATAAGGGAAATTTTCCCATTGTAATGAAGTGTTCTAATGTTACTAGCTGTTGGTTAGATTAAAAGATCAAATATAATTTATTATATAAAAAAAATTGTTTGATGCTTTTTTTAGCTATTTAAACTGGTTTGTGTAGTATATGAATCCTGTTACCCACTTACTTTTGGTACCTTGCATTATCCTAATGTCACTTTGTAACAGTGCATGGAGAGATGTTTTAAGGTAACTTAATGGGCCTTAGGAAGAGGTAGCATCTCCCTCACTGAAGCTACCAACTAGAGTAAGTGGGGGAACTTCCTGGCACACAGCTCTTTGTTTAGAAAAAAAAGACCTTGTGGGTTCTTTAATATTGTATGATAAAATAAGGTACCTAATCCCTAGTTGTTCAGATCTTTTGTCATTACTGAATAAACCATTGTGCAATGTTCTAGAGGTTAGTTGCAGTTAAAAACCATGGAAGTTAAATAAGCTTATGACAGTGATAGAGGTGCAAGGTAATGATGGTGGAATACTGGCTGTTTCAGGGGACAGCTAAATACCACCAGTGGTTCAGTGATTTGATACATGTCCTGGTTTTCAGACAACAAATACTTAATTTAAAATGTAGTTTGGAATCTGATATACAGTCAAGTTCCATTATGGGATTATATCAAGTGTATGCTTAATGGATATGAATCAGTTGGCTGAACTGGAGCTTGTGTGGTATGAAATTGATGCGGAAGGTGTGCTTCCTCAACTTTTTGGTCATCTTTAGAAGATATGGGATGTTTATTAAATCTTGCTAGATGTTTATGACCGTGGTAGTCTTTGGAGAATGACTTGCAATATTGCAGTATTAGAATTTACGTTGTTTTGCAGCTATTTTACTGAAAATGTTACCTGATTATTGAAATACTTAATTGTAGAGAATGGCCTGTCTTCTCTCCCCACATAAGACTAACATCCTGACTTCTGGGGGCCTGCTACTGGTGTTGTTGGTTCATAATGTTTCATGATATCCTCAAATGCTACTTTGGTGTAGAAACTGATTCAGTGGCTTAAAAATCTAAATAGAGTTAGAAGTTAATCATAATGTTAATGAAAGGGTAACTGAATGTAGCAGGAGTGGAGGCTTTATGTTTTTGTTGTATTTTTAGTTTGGCTTGTCATCATCCCTATCTCCAGAGTGAAGAGGTGTAATTCATGTTTCTTTGGGCTTGGGGAAGCAGCCATAATGGCTGTTACCTGTATAATTGATTGTTACCTTTATGTGCTTTTTTGATCCTTTTAGGTGAACTTCATTGTGAGTGATTCTGGGGCTCATGTCTTGAATTCTTGGACTCAGGAAGATCAGAACTTGCAGGAGGTGTGCTTTGTAACTATTCTTTGCTTTTATTAATCTCACTCAATTGCAGAATAAATAACAGCTTCTTACTATCTTCAATAGGAAATTATCTAATTAAAATGTTGGTGGATCTGCTCTGAAATTGTGTAACAGAATTGTAAGTAGCCTGTGAGGGTTGCCTATTCTGTAGGCAGTGTTATGTAATTAAAAAAGAATCAAGTAGTTTTCTGTATAGAGACTTATATTAAAATAAATGTTCTGAAGAAGTTACGTATTTCTTATAGTGATACTTGTTGAATTTGTAATTTGTTTGGGTTTTTTTACATTTGCATGACAGGCAATTAAACAGGAAAACAGGGAAGACTCTTGCTCTTGCTTAGTTTTGTACTGAGTGGGCTTGTCCTCTGAAAAACTTACTTGTGAGAACTGAATTTCTACATTCTCAGAAAATAAGAACAGATTATGTCTGATAATGCTAAAGTTTCTTTCAGGTGTTGGATAGAGCTTGCTATTATAGCCAGGTATTTTTCTGTAATTAATGAGATTATATTTTCAAGGTTCAGTAACAATAAATGAATTGCAAAGGGTGATTTAGGGCCAGATGTTTTCCAGAAGGTTGAGAACATAGAATGGTCTTCAATTGCTCTGTTTGGTTTTCTCCCAACAATATTAATTTGCATCTAAATAAGTCATCATTATGACTTTTCTCTTAACTGATTGTTTTAACCACTGGCTGTAAAGTAAATTTCTGTAATTTTTCTTCTTGACTAGTTGATGGCAGCATTGGCAGCTGTTGGGCCTCCTAATCCTCGGGCAGATCCAGAGTGCTGCAGCATACTTCATGGTCTGGTTGCAGCAGTTGAGGCACTGTGCAAAATAACAGAGTACCAGCATGAGGCTCGAACCATGCTCATGGAGAATGCAGAAAGGGTTGGAAACAGAGGAAGAATAATTTGTATTACTAATGCAAAAAGGTATCTATGATAACCTGCTTCTAGCATTTCAAAGATGTTATTTCATATGTTTTTAGAAGTGTTTCATTGATTGTCATGAATTAGTGCCCTAAGTAGCTAGCTTTGTTAGATCACTTTCTGCCTTAAAGGTGTAATTTATGGAGCTGTGTTACAGTAACAAATTTTTCCACTTGAAATAGGAGGGCATTTAGTGGCATGTGGTTTTGAATGGGAGGATTGATTATCCTGCATTTGAAAATTTTCTTTCTAGTGACAGCCATGTTCGAATGCTTGAGGATTATGTTCAGGAAACCATTCATGAGCATAACAAGCTTGCAGCTAATTCAGATCAGTGAGTATACTCTTCATAAATGTGTAGTGTCTTACAAATGCCTGTTACATCTTCTGAAACATGGATGTACTTTTTGTTATGTAAAACGTATTCTGATGAAGTATTTGAATGCCTTTATGAAATAGAAGGTGCAAGTCATGATATTGTTGACTTAGAGTTTGTGTAATCATTAGCTCTTCAGTATCATTATCCTCATAAGACAGTATTTCCCTTTAGGTTGTCTTCTATGTCTTGCTCCAAAATGAGACATGTAACTGCCTTATTTATATACTGCTTTATTTGTAATCAGTTATGCATCTGATGCATTTCTTTCTTTATAGCACTGCATTGATTTTACATTTGACTTTTACTATAATAGCCAACTCCTTGAAACTAGTTTTACGTTTCTAAATTTCTGTGCTGCCCAACACTTCCTGTGAGGTAAAGCAGTCTCTATAAAAAGAGGTTGCACCTCCTTGGAGAAGTAATTTTTCCACCATATGTTTTGTCTAATGAAACAGTAAACTGTGGCCCAGGGACTGTATATTGCCTTTTAAAGTGTGTAGTTGGTTAAGATGCTATTCATGTTTTCTCCTTAGGCACTTGAATAGCAGAAGCAGGAGTCTCTTGTATTTACCTGCTACAATTGGAGTTTCAAATATGTATAAAGGATTCAGCCCCAGGAGAATCAGGTTCTAAGTCCATTGTAAGGACAGAAGAGTGGCCTCATTCCTGTAGATTAGGATGTGGACCAATGTCTTGACCTCTACAAATTTCTAGCCACTATTAGGAGATGAGCATGTTATTTGAGTTGTTTTCATGTTCACTGGAATCCCCTTTATTAATATACCTGATTACACCCTTGGTGGCAAATTCAGTTGAATAAAGCTGAACAGATAACACAAGTTAAGGATCTACTCTGCTGATGTGTCAAAAAATAAACACAGTGCTATAGCATCTGAAGAGCTAGAAATGTTTGACATTTTTTTATTATGAGAATTAATTTTGAAGTATGTGCTTTTCCAAGTCATTGATGTAACTTAGTTTTGACAGATGCTTTCAGAAACAGGGTGTTGTAATACATCCTTAGGATTGTGTTCTGGAAATCAGATGACTCTTGGGAGAATTGGTCTAATTTATAGGAAATAGTCTGCCATCCTGTAAGCTAAATAGAATGTTCTTGTTTTTAAGTCTAATGCAGATTCAGAAATGTGAATTGGTCTTAATCCATACTTACCCAGTTGGTGAAGACAGTCTTGTTTCAGATCGCCCTAAAAAAGAGGTAAGGAGCTTAAAATGAGAAAATTTATCCAAGGATTAGGAACCATGTCAGATTCAAAACAGTGCAAATGAACTGTTCAGAAATAAGGCTTTAAGCCTGTGGTCTTTGGTAAGGTGTAGGAAAGAACAGGTGATCATTCTTTGAAAAGTTGACAGTCTGCATGTTGCCATTGCAAGTGTATGCTTTGTTGTGTTGTACTGTTGATGCATATATGGTATCCTCTTTTTCATTTCACTACTAAATTTTCTTGACAGTAATAATTCATTATTCATTTTTTATGTGAAGCAGAGTCATAGTCAGAGTTCTCAGGGTTGGAAGTGATCTCTGAAGATCACCTAGTCCAACCCCCCTGCTAGAGCAGGATCACCTACAGTAGGTCACACAGGAGCATGTCCAGGCAGTTTTTGAATGTTTCCACAACCTCTCTGGGCAGCCTGTCCCAGGGCTCTGTTACTCTCACAGTGAAGTTTTTCCTTATGTTTAACTTGAACCTGCTGTGCTCCAGCTTGTGCCCATTGCTCCTTGTCCTGTCAGTGGACACTGCAGAAAAGAGACTGGCCCCATCCTCTTGACACCCTTCTTTAGATATTTATAAGCATTGATGACATCCCCCCTCAGTCTCTTCTCTAGGCTGAACAGACCCAGCTCTCTCAGCCTTTTTTCATAGGCCAGATGCTCCATTCCTCTAATAATTTCTGTGGCTCTTCACTGGGCTCTTTCCAATAGTTCTTTATCATTTATGAACTGGTGAGCCCTGAATTGGATGCTGTATTCCAGATGCAGCTTCACTAGGGCAGAATATAGGGGAGGATGACCTCCTTTGACCTACTGGCCACACTCTTCTTAGTACAGCCCAGGATGCCATTAGACCAGGACCCCGAGGTCCTACTCCCCAGAGCTGCTCTCCAGCAGGTCAGCTCCCAACCTGTACTGATACGTGGGGTTGTTCCATCCCAAATGCAGTACTTTGTGCTTGCCCTTGTTGAATTTCATTAAGTTTTTCCCTGCCCAGCTCTTCAGCCTGTCCAGGTCATGCTGGGTGGCAGCACAACCTTTTGGTGTGTCAGTCACTACTCCTAGTTTGGTACCATGAACAAACTTGATAATGGTTTGCTCTATCCCTTTGTCCAGGTGATGAATGTATTGATCAGGGCTGCATCCAGTACTGACTCTGGGGGATCCCCTTAGACACAGTCTCCAGCTAGACTCTGCATCACTTACCACAACTTTAAACTCTGTCCTTCAACCAATTCCCAATCCAGCTCACTGCCCTATCATCCAATCCAAACCAGTTTGTCTGTGAGCATGCTGTAAGAGATAGTGTTGAAAGCCTTGCTGAAATCATAGACCAGATCCACTGCTTTCCCCTCATCTGTCTGTTCCGTCACCTTTCAGGAATGGAGATGAGCGTTTGGTCTGTGGTTACCTTGGTTCTCTTTCTTGCCCTTTTTGAAGACTGGAGTGACATTGTCTTTCCTCAAGTCCTCAGGCATCTGTCCTGTTTCCAAGGATTAATCAAAGATGATGGAGAATGGGCTAGCAATGACTTCAGCCAGTTGTCCTCACTCTTGGGTGCATCCCATTGGGGTCCATGGATTTGTGGATGTCCAGTTTATTTAGTTGGTTTCTAACCCAATCCTCTTTGACAAAGGCAGAGTCTTCCTTTTGCCTGACTTCCTCTGTTGTCTCGAAGGTCTGGGACTCCTGAGGGCTGGCCTTAGCAGTAAAGACAGAGGCAAAGAAGGCGTTCAGTAACTGCCTTCTCTGTTTTCTCTGTCAGCAGGGCACCCCCTTCAGTCAGCAGAGGGCCCACATTTCCTCTATCCTTCCTTTTGCATCCAGTATACTTTAAAAAGCCTTTCTTCTTGACTGTGACTTCCCTTGCCAGTTTTAATTCGAAGGAGGCATGAGCTTTCCTTGTTGCATCACTACATTATTTGAAAACATTCTTTTATTCCTCCCAGGTGGTTAGTACCTTCTTTTGTGTTCTATAAACTTCTTTCTTGCACTTGAGTTTGTTCAGTATTTCTTTGGCTTAACAATTCAGGTCTCCTGGCTCACTTGATTTCTTACTCTTTGGGGTGCTCTGATCTTGAGCTTGGAGGAAGCAGTGCTTAAACATTTACCAGTTCTCTAGGCCACTCCCTACCCTCCAGTACCCTATCCCATTGGGTTTCACCAAGCAGTTCCCCTAAGAGATCAAAGTTAGCTCTTCTGAAGTCCAGGGTTGTGACCCTGCTAGGTGCTCTGTACCTACTGCAGTTGATTCTGAAATCCACCATCTCATGGTCACTACAACTCCCAACCTTAATGTCTTCTGCTGACCCCTCTTTGTCAGAGCCAAGTCCAGCAGTACACCTCTCCTTGTTGGCTCCTCCACCATCTCTATCAAAAAATTATCAATACACTGGCTGACCTTCCTGGACTGTACATGCCTGGCTGTGTCACCTTCCCAGCAGATATCTGGGTAATTGAAGTCCCCTATGAGCCCATTAATGTCATAGAATGACATTCTAGGTGTGATGGGTTTTTTTTCAGAAAGAAACATGCATTTAGGAACCTAATAGAAAGCCATCAAGTACTTTGTCTATTGAATAGTAAGTTGAGTAACTTTTCTGCTCTTCAAGCACAGGCTGCTAGCTAGAAAAAGCTCTGTTTTCCTAAATACCTGCTACTCAACAATGTCTATTGTTCAGCACTCTGTTCCATGTTACCCACACTAACATGCTAGCATTTTTAGTTCTGGTTGAACTATTTTTTCATTAAACCAAAATGAGCTTTAGCATCAGTTCTGTTCTACTATTAGCAAAGAGAAAGCCTTTTCAATGAAAATAATTGGGAAGTCTATATTCAAGATGGACGGGTAATACCTTGTTGGGAATGTGGAATGTTTGAAATTAATAAAATGCTTAAAGTACCCTACATATATTCACCAAATCACCAAGGCTGGAAAAGATGTCTAAGATCATCAAGTCCAGCCTATAACCAACACTACCACGTTGGCTAGACCATGGCACTGAGTGCCACATCCAGCCTTTCCTTGAACACATCCAGGGATGGTGCCTCTACCACTGTCCTGGGAAGTCCATTCCAGTGTCTAATGACTCTCAGGGTGGAACTACTTCCTAATATCCAACCTAACCCTCCTGTGGTGCAGCTTGGGGCAGTGTCCTCTTCTCTTGTTGCTGGTTGCCTGGAAAGGATTTTTTTACTTTTAAGGATTAGTTTTAAAAAAGGTGAAATGTAGCATATATGAAATTACTGTGTATTTTGACATGTCAGTTGTTTGGTAGCAAATGCATGTGAGCTTTGTGGACTTGTGTTTATTCATGTTGTTTTAAACCAAGTACCTGAAAAAATCTTGCTATTCTGCTCTTCATCAGTCTCTGCTGCTTTTAACATGCTGCATGCAAGAAAGAAAAATCACAAGAAAAAACACGTTATTCTTAACATGAAGAATGTATAGCCCTGCATATTATTTCATAAATAAAAAGGCTATGACAGCACCTTTCCAAAGTTCTTCTCTACAAAGTTTTAGTAGTTGTGTGAAATAAAAAAGGAACAGAAGAGAATAGATGATTACTTTGCTCTGTAAGAGTTATCTTTATTACCTCATTCTAAAAGCCTGAAACCAATGTCCTTGTTGGCAGTGAAAAATCTAATTGTGCTTGTTATTCTTGTCCATATATGATGCACTTGCAGGTAACTGTATAAAAATAACTTTATTCCTTTTGCTCAGCATAAAAGAGCAAAATAGCAGGCCTAGAGCTGCTAATAAGAGGATTTATTAACTGTGTTGTGATACTAATTCTTCCTATGAGCAATTAATAGCTCAAGCTTTTAGCACAATTCTTTTTTTATGTAATTCTTAGCAACTGCAGTGCTGACAAGTGGCATAACTTAAAAATTCTGAATAATAATTTTTGCTGCTTCCTTCTGAGTTCTCCATGGTGTGGGGTTTTTTGAGTGCCAGTTCACCCTGAGTCCAATTTAGCAGGATAAATGTGCTTATTTAAAATTACATGTGAATGTTGTTACCTGACACTAGAACCTAACCCATGAATACTATACACTCTGTGCATTCATTTTAGCTTTCACCTGTTTTAACCAGTGAAGTGCATAGTGTCCGTGCGGGAAGGCATCTGGCTACAAAACTGAACGTTTTGGTTCAACAACACTTTGATCTGGCTTCAACCACAATAACTAACATTCCTATGAAGGTAATACTGTGTCTGTATCTTTGAGTTGCCTAGCTGTGTCACTTCTAAATTTGTTTTGAAAACTTCTTACTGTTTATTTTAATTGAATTTTACATTGTTTTTCTCTCCATATCATTTTTTGTTTTTTATTAGCCCACATTCAATGTCTGTGACCAGGTTAGTAAAAATCGAGGGGTAAAAATACAGTAAAGAAGGATCACAGAACAAAACATTGTATTGCTGAATCTCAATTTTTTCATGTAGCAATACAAGAGTTACTTCAGTTCTGTTTTTGTTATTTTATATAAGTACAATCTTTATCTCAGATTAGTTTTGTCTGTGATTCTTTTGTCTTTTTTTAGTTGTGCTAGATATTCTTGACCCTTGTGCATTATAGTGGCATAGTGAGTCTCTTTTTTCCTCTGTTTCATGATCATGCCCACCCAACATAAAGGTGTTTGTAACTAATCTGTTTTTTGACTTAAGGTTTTCCAGTAGGTTTTCCAGTTTAAAGATTCATAGAAACAGGAGGACAGGGGATATATTTAAATAAGAAAGATACTAAATTAAGCATAATTTGCTCAAAGTTTTTTGTGTCCCTATTTTTTAATAACTTTTTAAAATTGCTACCTGGAGGGATATCAGTGTGACTAAGCATTGCAAGTACTAAGTTTGCAGTAACTTTCTGATCAGGCAGCAAGAGACAGTCGAAACAAGTGACTGTATTAAAATAAAAAGGGCAGAGCAGATAAACTTTTCTTATTTTAAAAATTCATCAATTTCTAATACCCTCAATCATTACCTGCATCTTTGAAAGCTAGCAATACTGTATGCTTTTTATAAGTTTAAACATGAAATTAAAATTTATTTTCACAGCTTTAATGGAACTTTGATATGGGTCATGGCATAAATGTGACTTAAGTTTGCAAATACCTTGTCTGTAACTTTCTGACCTGTGTGCTGCTGGTATGCCTCTCCCTTCTGCCTTTGTCCTTACAGTAATAGACTGTGTTGGGTTCTCTGTGGTTTTTTATTTTTAACCTGGAATAAGTTACCAAGGTTACTGTTCTGTTTTTGCTAGTCTTCTGCAAATGTTTAAAGATGCAGTGTCCTCTTTACAGACATTTGGTTTTTAATTATAAACTTCCAGCTGCAAGCACACTTCTATATGTCAAGTACAATAAAATGGTAAGTTCTAAGTGTGTTTTTTGGTTTGGATTATTGAGATTTTTGGTCATGTAAAGTAGTTGCCCATTTATTCTGTAGTGACCATTTGTTGCCGTTCAGTGAGTTGTAACTACTGGTGGTATTCAGTATGTCATAGGCTTAACTTCACAAATTTAAACAAACTTCTTTTTTGCCTTATATTTTATGCTGTGTACACTATCATGACATTTGCATAAAGAGGAAACCATAGGGTTTCAAAAAAAGGAGAAAAGAGGAAAAGCAGATAGCTGCATCTTTAAACAGGTCAGAGCGTAAACGGTTTCCTCAACATTGCAATCCTGTTGTTGTCTGATGCACTTTTGAGACTTCTTGTTTTATTCTGGAGTGAAAGATAAGTGTAGAATCATTCATTTATAGAAAGTCACAGCTAAATAAAAATATTTCTACCTTTCTCTTTTTGAAGGAAGAACAACATGCTAACACATCAGCCAACTATGATGTGGAGCTACTTCATCACAAAGAGGCACATGTTGACTTTTTGAAGAGTGGTAAGTAGAAATAGTTCCTTTTGATCAGCCTGCTGGGAGCATTCACAAAGTTTGAGTTCCAAACTGATGTAAATTTCAGGCACAATTATAATTTTCAGTTATTCCTTACAACCCAAGAACTTGATTTCTAATGTTGATATTGAGTTTTATTCATTACTGGCATATTTTAATATAGCAGTAATGATGGAAACAATGGAAAAAAACAGGTCAAATTCATCAGACAAGGTTTCAGAAATGTTCAGGATTTTTGTGAGTTTTTAGGGGAATGTCGACTTAACATATAAAAGGGACATGAGAAACCAGATGTCCAGTCATTTTACAAAAGTATCTCTTGTGGGTGTTGGTGAGAAACTATTCCTTGCACATTTGAGCTTCTAGACTGTCTAATAATAGACATCACTTACATCCCATAGGCCTATTTATGACAGTAATTGCTTTGGAAAAGACAGTTACTTGACGTCTGAGCTTTCTTGTATTTAAAATACTTAGTATCCTTTCTGTAAATTTGGAATTATTACCTAGTATTTCTGAGGTGAAGCTTAACTGAGGTTAGAGAAACACAAGAGTAAGTCTTATGCACAGTTATTTTTTTCAGGAAACTATTCGATATACATTTTTTAAATAAGTCAGGCTAAAAAAAAAAATCTGTAGTAGTAGAATTAAAAGCAAAGCCAAGCAGTTAAAAAAACCTCAGCTGGTGTTATTGTGTGGTGGAATCTTAGACCATGTGCCTTTTCAGTGCTGAAGTATCATTTTTAACATTTGGATGTTTTGTATATGCTTTGTCTTTTACTGCATTGATTGTAACTTCTGTTACATGATTCAGTACCTGTACATGTACTACATGCGTAAGTACATCAGTAAGTGTTTAGATACAGGCAGTAAATACTTGTTTTACTATCTGAAACTATTTTGTATAGTTTTAAAGCATACTAGAAAGTTGTTGGTTGTTTAACTTCTAAGAAGTGAAGAGTTTAACAGATGAGTTACATCAGTTGTTTAACAAGAGTGGATATTTTTGAAGTTTGAAATCATGTGGTTCACAAGTAGCCAGTTTAGAGTGTGCTTTTTGCTCTTGAAGGGGTTACCATTAGTTTGAGGAAAAGGAGGTTAACTCCTCATTATAATCTAGAAGTGCTGTGCTCCAGATTTTAGTGGAGTGTATGATTAAAGGTTGAGAAAGAGCAAGATGTTACAGTAATGAATTCAGACTCACCTGAACTTGTGTTACCATGTTGAAAGCATGAAGCTTTATTGTCAGGGTGCAGAAATGGTTTTGTAATACCTGTTGATCAAGGAGTAAGTCTGCTAGTAAAAGCCAAAAGCAAACTCCAAATGAAATGCCTCTTCAAATTTTTTCCAGCAGAACTTTGAGAGGAAAAAGTCAGTACTTAGATCCTATGAATTTTTGTTTCTTTTATTTGTTTTTAAATTTTGACTGTAATAGCAAGAATTCCATTTCATTGGTCTTATTTCCTTGTAATGTTGGTGGAGGGTTTTTAGCTGAAGTTTGGCATTCAGGTATTCTGAGAGACTTTCTAAAATTCCAGTTATTTTAGCTGAAAAATCAACATATGCAAGTTACCTGTATGATGACTAAGCAAATAAAATACTTTGTGTAAATGTCTTTAAAAATAAGGGAACTTCTTACATGAAAGATTAAACTAAACCCTGACATATTACATATAATGTTGGGTGTTGTTGTGTTTATTCCTCTCTGTTGTGGATTCAAGCATCTTAAGTGCCAATGCTACTGTAGTTCTTGAACTTTGTGAAAAACTAGTTAAATCTTTCCTGAGATGTGAGCCAAAGATCATGAAGACTTGCAAAACTCACTAGTAGAAACATAGTTTCTACTATCTTCAGGTGGTTTTTGTCAGACTGGTTGTCAGTGAGACTTACGAAAACATTTTAATAGGAAAACATCTGTGGCCAGTAAAACACATTGAGAGATGTTAAAATTAAATCTGGCATAGGAGAGGTACTGCATGATGTCAAGTACTTATTTTCCCCAAAAGTCCAACTTGTCAAATGTGCCTTTAGATGAATTTATTTTTACTTTGGGATATAATATATTCAAGAAATGAACAGCTTTAACATTTGTTAAAGGTTTTGATTTTTGTGTGGAAAATAGACATTGTCTTAAACTTCTAGGCATTTTAAAGGAAAATTCCTGTTGTAGATAACATGTATAAAATTCTAGGTGTTAGTGTGATATCAAACCTAGAAAGCAGTCTGGAGCTGCAGTATTTTGTGTGCTGAATTGGTTTTTAAAACATGCAATGGCTGCTGATATTGAGATTTTTTCAACTACCACTGGTAATAACGTTTTTACTTTTGTTAGGTATATAACTTTTTTAAATTAGACTTAATTTAATATATGCTTATGTTATATTGTACCTTAGTTTAGAAGTTGTTATAATGAAGAAAATGTGGTTGATCATGCTATGACACTTTTTATTACTTTATTTTGCAGGTGATAATCATGTAGGTGGCAATAGCAGAGAAGGAACATTTAAAGAAACTGTAACTTTAAAATGGTGTACTCCCCGAACAAATAGTGTAGGTAGGTAACATAGTACCTTATAAAATGGGTAGTCTAACTTGTATTGAACACTGTTCTCCCTGTACACTGGAAAGAATCTGAGCAAGGAGGTAATTTATTTCTGGTTAATGCTGGCTTGAAGATTTGCTCTATAAACCTTGCTGCTGACTGCACCCTGCTTTACTAATGGTTGTGCAATGCCCTTCTCATCTTGGCTTATCAGTGGTGTGTGTAAGAGTTGAGATGGATAGTAACGTCTTTCTTGGTGGCTTGTTTTCAGTCTCAAGTATCATGAAGCTCTTCATTGACTACAATATTCAGTAATTATTTGCCCCTCTAACAAGGCCAAGTATACCTTGTCAGTTCTGCAGTGGTGTTTTTGAACGCAGCAGCATTTGATACATTGAATCTTTTTTGTTTTAATTTTTTTGTTGGGGCAAGGAAATTCAAGTACTATCTTAAATGTAATCTTTAGAGTGCAAAGTAAAAAGCTTTGTAAGGAAATTAAATGTATGCAACGTTGCTATCAAGAGAAGTACCTCTGTATTAACTTTCTGATCAGATCTCTACCCAAATCTGATCAAAGGAGAGAAGGACAGGGAAGATTTGAGGTAATGTAAGAACCACCTGACCATTCAGCTTATGTACCCTGTAGACTAACAGCAAGATATATTGACTCTGAGCCAGCAAGTCAAAAATACAGATGAGAAATAAGAGGAGGTTAACTCTACAATGTAGTAATTCAGGAGATAAGAAGAACTGGAGGTCCTGCTGGAAACAGAGCTTGGGAATGTATTAGGTTCTCAGAGTTGAGGGTACTGGAATGATTGTGAAGAGACAGTGAAAGAAACTTCTAGATCAAGAAACAGCTAGACTTTTTAGTTTTGATGATTGTGGAATAGCCTCCTTCCCTTTTATTTTGTGGGGTGTTTTTTCTGTGTGTGGAACTACACTCAACTTTTTTACCCATTTATTTTGCAGAATTACACTATTGTACTGGAGCGTACAGAATTTCACCAGTAGATGTAAATAGCAGACCTTCTTCATGCCTTACTAACTTTCTCCTTAATGGTAAATTTGTGTCTTTGGCCAATTAATGTTTTAGTTGTTAATATTGTGAATAGAGCAGTTAACTATATTTTGATTTATCAGTAAATGTCTATATACTGTAAAATGTGAAGCTTATTTTAATATATAAATAAGACAGGGAAGTTGTTAAATATATTGAAAGGCAAATGGATGTGTTTTTATACTTGATGAGAGGAAAGATGTAAAGAGGGAGCAAGTATTGAGTTGTGGTAGTTCTTTTCTGAATCCAAATGCAGAATACTTTTCACTTTAGTAGGAAATGCTGCTTTTGGTATGCTATAGTGCACTTGATCACAATGCTTACTCTGGCTATTGTGAAATATTAGCAACTTGTGTCTGTGCCTGATTTTTAGCAGGGGCTGGGCAGACTGAGAAAGCTCTTAACTGAGTTATCAGCACGTAAGTATGTTGGTCAATTGAAGCAGACATGCTTGTGTGTACTGGGATTGGTCAAAAAAGTAGGTTAGATTTAGTTATCTTTTGCTTGCTTGTCTGCGAAGCCATGCCCACTGCAATGGATAATCTTTAAGAGGTTGCCCTGTAAATGCATATTTAAAAGGTAAACCAATGTCCAATGAGTAATTGTAGTCAATATTAGTTACATATGTTTTTTAGTTTGCAAACAAAATGACGCTACAAAAACATTATTTTAATGGGATGTTTTCTTAAGTCATTTGAGTCCCTCATGTGCAGTGTCTTTTTTAAACATTGTATTTTTCTCTAAAGGGTACTGAAAAAGTACCTTGATTAAAATGGTTAGAACTGAAATTAATAACATATTTCAGATAACTACTCCTGATCTATTTTTGCTTCCTCATAAAAAACAATTTATTTAGAGAATGGGCTCTTTTATGCTTAGTGTATTTTACTGGAAATAAGACAAAGGCAATTTTATTTCTTTGAAAAATGGTTTCCAATTTCAATCTTAACAGACATCATTGATATTTATATACTCAGGTCGGTTTTGTTACTTTCTAGAAGTTGCTTTTACTGAGAGTTTCTGCAGTAGGGAGAAATAAGTTTACTATAGAACATAATCTGTAATAACTGAAAAATAGCAAGCTGTCCTTACACATTATACAGTTTTAGTGTCTTAGAAATAATGGACTTTTTCTAAGAATAAGGTTCTACAGAGGAAGTGATTGCTTGCTGGAGAAGAGCCATTTTGATCTGTCTGTTGTAAAATTTGTGTAAGTACATGCAGAAAATACTGAAAGGAGAAATGTTTCTTGTTCATCTGGGTCTTACTGGTTAGTTCCAAACCTGTATTGTGTATACATAGTTTTGAATTTAAAATTGCAGCACCAGAACTGATGAAACTGATCTCTTGTTTAACAGGTCGTTCGGTTTTGTTGGAACAGCCCCGCAAGTCTGGCTCTAAAGTCATTAGTCATATGCTCAGCAGCCATGGAGGAGAGATTTTTCTGCATGTATTAAGCAGCTCACGATCAATTCTAGAAGATCCCCCATCAATTAGTGAAGGGTGTGGTGGAAGAGTCACTGACTACCGGATTACAGTAAGAACCTTAAGTTGTTGCTTATCTCAGGTGATGAGATGTAGTGCAATAGGTGTGTAAAGGAGGTGTTAATATGCTTTCTAGAGAGCTGGAATGGATTGCATGATCAAACTTTTTCTTTGTACTGCTGATAACATATTTAGTATGAAGTACATCTCATATGTGCTTCATAGAGTCCTTTGTCAAGGAAGTACTTGCCTCCTTATGCAATATGAGTATTTTAAGTTCTGATTCTAGAATAACATTTTTCTTGGCAAGATTTTTGTGGGCTGGATATGCATGGGACTCTATCTTGCTTTTTGTCAGAAAGATAGATTGCATGTGAATGGTTTCTACAATAAATAGAAGAGATGGAGCTGTTGGCTTTGAGCCTGGATATGGAGCAGATGATCAGCTGACAGTATTTTTTTTCCCCTTTTTATCACATCCTTTGTATCTCTTGTAAACAAGCAGAAGTGACTTCCAGAAAAACATAATAAAACTCTTGCCATACCTGAAATACCTTGCAGATATAGAACATATCCTCATCAAAAAACCTTGCATCAGTTTTAACTCATTTTTATACAACTGTTTATGTACACCCAGGATAATGTATGTCTGAAAGCTAGAAACAGCTCTGGTTGTTAGGCTCAGATTAGTGGTGGGGGTGGTACACTAGCTATGCTGTTTTGCCCATTCAATGAAAGCTACTTTGTTAGAGAAATGCCTAATTGTATCTTGTTTGGTTATCATTAGGATTTTGGTGAATTTATGAGGGAAAACCGATTAACTCCTTTTCTAGAGCCCAGATATAAGATCGATGGAAGTCTTGAAATTCCATTGGAACGTGCAAAAGATCAGTTAGAGAAACATACTCGTTACTGGCCTATGATTATTTCTCAGACTACCATCTTCAACATGCAAGCTGTAAGTTGCCTGGGGTTTGTAACTTGATTCTGTTCTAAATTAAGTTTGTCCTTGCCACTTGTTGAGATATCAACTGTTTTATGATAAACTGATTTTTATGGCAAGTGATTTATTTTCGGCTTTATTTTCACTGAAGTACCCTGTATTTAATGTTACTAGATTATTGTTTTGCCATATAAATAGGGTGGAATATTTGAACCTGACAGCTATAATGTTACTGGGTAAAGAAAAAATGCATCTGCTTGTGCCTGCTCAGAGTTATTACTAAATGGAGGATAAGAAGGGGTGTGTTTGTGTGTGGTTCCATGGTTGCCTCTGATTTTTTCTTCCTGTTTCTGTCCCATGACATACACAGACTTTCTTGTTGGTGACTTTTATCTTACAGGTAGTGCCATTAGCCAGTGTGATTGTAAAAGAAGCAATGACTGATGAGGATGTTCTGAATTGTCAAAAAACCATATACAACTTGGTAGACATGGAGAGGAAAAATGATCCGCTGCCTATTTCAACAGTTGGTACCAGAGGAAAGGGTCCTAAAAGGTTACATGCATGTGTCTCTTTGTTAATGTTGGACTTTTTTCAGAAATCTTCCATTGACATTATTTTCATATTAAATTTTAAAAGTTGGCCAGAGGTAAATATGTAGTAAACTAAGTGAGGTACATATGGACATTGCAGACTGTGAATGTTTTGACTGTATCATTTAGGGGCTGTCACAGTACTGATAGTGTTGTGTGCTAGGAAAATGTTACATCATTTTATTACCCCAAAATTGTGGGTATGATAAAAAATAAAAAAGCAAAGATGGCCATCAGGGAAGGTAAGAGATTGATACAAGCTAGGCCAGAGAAAGTAGAATAATCTAAAATTTAAAAGGGAAACATAGGCATTTTAAATGAACAAGGCTCTAAAATAGGGATATGCTAGGATAGTCAAATCCTTTTGGAACAGTTACTTTAAAATAGGGGGTACTCCTTTAAAACAAGCATGGAATGTCCTGATATTATTAAGTGTGCATTGTAATCCTAAGAATTGGCTGAAAAGAAATTCAGCTACAGAAGGTGGCCCAAATGTCTGGGAGCTGTTTACCATAGCATGGTACTTCTGGAATTTTTTTTTATCCAGAAAAATAAAAATGAATCTGCATGTCAGTGTATGAGTGACACTCTGCATATCCTTACACTGCGTAGTTAGCAAACACCTGGGAGGGTTCAGAAGTGCCTTTTGGCAGTGAGATCTTGTGGAAGTTTTTATTTCAGTGGACATAGTATATTTTAATCTAAACTCAAGTCTTTGGATGTTAATTGGGAAATGTTACATACAGTATGATTTCAGATTTCAAGAATGAATTAATCTCAGGTGGATCAACCTCCAGTACAGACTGTTTTGGGGTTTTTGTTTCTTAAGCTCTGGTTTTTAGCCTTATTTTTTCAATAGTTTAATGATCTAAGTTATCCTGTATGTAATACTGTTTTTCTGTCCTTGCTTAGAGACGAACAGTACCGGATTATGTGGAATGAGTTGGAGACCCTTGTACGAGCTCACATAAACAACTCTGATAAACACCAGCGAGTCTTAGAGTGTTTGGTGGCTTGCAGGAGCAAACCCCCAGAAGAAGAAGAGCGCAAGAAACGAGGTAGAAAGAGAGAAGATAAAGAGGACAAGTCAGAGAAGTTAGGCAAAGACTATGAATCAGATAAGCCATGGCAAGAGTCAGAAAGGTAAATTTTTAAAAGTGAAATAAAACAATAGCATAATAACTTTTGTCCTGTCCTACTTAGGAGGATGAAATTGCTGTGAAACAGTTGCAGGTTTCAGTTTGATGTGTTCATGCTTATAACCTATGCTTACTACTAGTGAGTGTGGATCCCAAGGTTTTTTGGATCAGTCACCATTGCCAGCCTTTGGAAATAGGCATCTTATTAAAATTCTTGCTTATCAGGCTTTTCACATAAACATAATTTACAAGCAGT